AAGTGGTCAAAATGTCAATGTTAACCAGAGTTTGGAAGAAGTTGATTCCAACCCTTACGGATGACTTTGAGGGGTTCAAGGCTTCAGTGGAGGAAGTAACTACAGATTGGTGGAAATAGCAAGAGAACTAGAATTAGAAGTTCAGCCTGAAGATGGGACTGAATTGCTGCAAACTCATGATAAGGTTTTAATGGATGAGGAGTTGCTTCTTATAGATGAGGAGAAAAAGTGGTTTCTTGAGATAGAATCCACTCCTGGTAAAGATGCTGTAAAGAGTGTTGAAATGACAGCAGAAGATTAGAATATTACACAAAGTTAGTTGATAAAGAAATGGCAGTGTTTGAAAGGATTGCCTCCAATTTTGAAAGTAGTTCTACTGTGGGTAAAATAAATGCTAATAAACAGCAGCATGTGCTGCAGAGAAAATCATTCATGAAAAGGAGTCAATTGATGTGTCAAACTTCATTGCTTTCTTTTTTTAAAAATACCATATTTCCCCATGTATAAATTGCACCCTTTTTTAAAATTTGGGGTCTAAAAACTGGGTGCATCTTATACAGTAGTTGTAGATCATTGTCAAGTCATTTAAGAAGTGTGACATTTCAAATGCCATAGATGGAACTGAGGACGAAGCAATATATGAAGACAGTGAATCGTCATCAGACACAGATGAGGACAAGCTAACGGTTGGGAGTTTTGACAGTGATGAGGAGTTGTATGAATTTTATGATGAATAAAACTTGAGTTCAATAACTTTATGTAATACTTTTTTTTCAAATTTCGGGCCCCAAAGTTAAGGGGTGTCTTATACATTGGAGCATCTTATACATGGGGAAATACGGTAAGCTTTGTTGCAAGATTTTATTATTAGTTTCAGGGACACAAAACAACCTAGTGATTAGACACTTACACCCCCACAAGGTGATAACCCCAACAAGTCTCTTACCCATCTGACACTGTACATAGCTATTACAATACCATTGACTATATTCCCCGTGCTGCACTGTATACCCTATAACTCTATGCTTTTTAGATTATAGTTGACATTCAATATAATTTTATATTAGTTTCAGGTGTACAGTGTAGTGGTTAGGCATTTATGTAATTTATGAAGTGATGCCCCCAGTAAGCACCCATCTGACACTACAAATAGTTTTTACTAACCATACTTTAATTTCACATCCCATGACTATTTTGTAACTACCAATTTGCACTTCCGAATCCCATCACCTTTTGCACCCATTCCCCATCTCCCCTACCCATCTTATTTTTTAGAAATTTCTACAGCCACCCCATCCTTCAACAACCATCACCCTGATCTTTAGCAGCCATCAACATCCAGGCAAAACCCTCCACCAGCAATAATCCAACTCACTGAAGGTTCAGTTGATGGCAAGCATTTTTTAGCAACAAAGTGTTTTTAATTAAAGTGTGTACATTATTTTTAGACGCAATGCTATTTCACACTTAGTAGACTATCGTGTAGTATAAACTAACTTTTACAGATATGGGGAAACAAAAAAAATCTGCTCAACTCACTTTATTACTATATTTGCTTTATTGTGGTGGTCATGAACTGAACCCACAATATCTCTGAGGTATGCCTGTATTACTTTTTTCTTTATCATTCTAGTTCTGCCCAATGTGGCTTGTGCCAAGTGAACAGTTCCACCTCAGGACTATGGTAAGTTGTTGATGTGCAGCTTTTAATACACAGCTATCTATGACTATGTTATTTTTCTTTATGCTATGTAATCATAAAAATAAAGTATTCCTAAATACATTTAATAACTTTAAATTCTGAAATGTCCTAGTAGCTGAGTAATTTAAATGCCTGACCAGGATTTTGCTTAGAATACAACATCAAGAATGTGCACGCTGCTAAGTTGACAGGATTTTTCAACTTGTTTACAGTCTTGTTTCCCACCTACATAATCATTAATTATTTAGTAGGGTATTTTAGCCCATAACCATTTTGCAGTTTCATTTTAAAATAGAAACAGACTCACAGGTACAGAGAACAAACTAATAGTTACCAGAGGAGAGAGGGATAGAAAGATGGGTGAAAAAAGTAAAGGGGAATAAGGTACAAAGTTCCCATTATAAAATAAATAAGTCATGGGGATGTAATGTACAGCATAAGAAAAACAGTCAATAATATCATAATAACTTCGTATGGTGACAAATGTTTGGTTACTGAACTTATGTTGTTGATAACATTGTAAGGTATATAAATGTCAGATCACTATGCTATATAGCTGAAACTAATGTAATATTGTATGTCCAGTATAGTTCAATAAAAACTAAATTAAAAAAATAAATGTAAGAAAAATATCTAGCTCTTATTGAGACAGTAAATTCATGTGATAATAAATTCATTTATTAGAGTTTGTCATTTATTAATTCTGCATATGTTAAATAGTTACTGGATGTCAAGTAGATAATAAGGCAATGGGAAAGGAAAGATAAGTAAGATATGATTCCTGTCTTCACAGACATCTTCTTTATTTATGTTTGAATGTGTTTAAATTTTTCTTTTATAATCAGAAATTTAAGAGGAAACCTCATGCTTCATAAAATATTATTCTCTTCAATTATTTTCTAGATGTGTATACTTCCTTAGCCATTTTACAATTCTGTGTCCAAGATCCAGAAAAACGTCCATAATCTGCATACTTTACAAAGCACATTCTAGGTAAAATCGTAGTGTTGTGCTATCAATGTTTAGATTTTGACAGTTATTAGTTACCATTTATCATACTGTAAAAGGTACACAGGGAAATATGTAATTATATCTGAATCATAATAAATTCAGAGAACATAGAAAATAATGTTGTAGACTTGGTATCCAAGAAGATATTATTTAGAGCTACTTATCTTGTCAATTTTGTATTCTCGTGACTTCCACATATTATTTCCACCTCTATTTAATTCATTCTGCCTGGTATTTGCAGTATGCCTAACGTTGTGTTTTTGGCACACTGGGAAATACAAAGGTCTAAAACACAGACGTTGACTTCAAGGAGTTTTTTGGAACGTGTCCTACCCAGATAACAAAAAGGCAATTAATGTTTTGTTGCCAGTACTCACTGATATACCTGGGGCTATTCAGAAGAATTATTTGAGATTCTCTTCAATGATTTACATGCTAAGTACTGGGAACACACAACCCACTTACAGAGAGATGATGATAGATGCTAACACTGAGGCTTAAGGAGCCTGTTGTAAAACAGGTTAAAAATTTGGAGATGGAAATAACCTATTTGTAACTGGTATAAAAATCAACTTTATACCTATCAATGTGTATTTCTTATTTCTTAGTACTATAAAAAAGAAAACTCCTGTATCAGTCAGTGTTCTCCAGAGAAACAGAACCATTAGGATGTGTGTGTGTTTGTGTGTGTGTGTGTGTGTGTGTGTGTGTGTGTGTTGTAGAGAAAGAGAGAGAGAGAGAGGAGAGATTGATTTATTATTAGGAATTGGCTCACATAATTATGGAGGCAGAAAAGACCCAAGATCTGCAGTCAGCAAGTTGGAGACCCAGAAGAGCTGATGGTATAGCTCCAGTCCAAAGGCCAGCAGGCTTGAGACCCAGGAAGAGGCAATATTTCAGTTTGAGTCTGACATCAGGGGGAAAAAATGATGATTGAAGGAAATCAGGCAGGAAAAATTCTCTCTTATTTTGGGAAGGGCCAGCCTTCTGTTTATTCAGGCTTTGGACTGCTTGGATGGGCCCACCCAGGTTAGGGAGGATCTACTTTATTCAGTCTATCAGTTGAAATGTTAAACTCATCCAAAAACACCCTCACAGAAACACCCAAAATAATGTTTGACCAAATATCTGGACACCCTGTAGCCCAGTCAACTTGACACATTAATTTTCCATCACACCTATAAAAACAAGAGGGGAAAGGAAAGGTATAACTAGATTTATAGGAAACTACAGGTGAAATACCTACCAAAACTTAGAAAAATATATTCATTTCATTCTCTATTTCAACTTTTTAAAATCCATTACAAGTAGAAACTTTAGAGATCTAGTCAGCCTCTCCATTTATGTATGAAGAAACTGTGATGCAAAGAAGCAAAGTGACTTGTCCAAGATCATACACCTCATTAACACTAAAACCAGAATTGAAACCAGCACTTTACAGTTTCAATATTCTTCCTAAGGATACACTGGTATAATTTCCCCCTTATTACCTGTATGTGTGACATGGAAGCTGGATAAAGTTCAAATCCAATTTCAAAATGGCATTGGTGAATGCATTCCTGATACACAACTGTTACAGACACATTTACCTATGTACAAAGTAGTGATTCTGATTCAGATCTCAAAGTACTTTGCGCACAGTTATTACTGAGCCGTATGTCAATTTGGAGTTAATTCAAAACATGCAGTTTTGTATCCTCTCATAAGGACTTTTGAACAACAACAAAAATAAACCTTTAATACTGCCTGTGAAAGTAAAGAGCATGATAAGGACGTGTTTATATAGGCATTGAGCCAGAAATGGACTACTTGTTTTCAAGCTTTGGTCACTGAGAGAAGACATCTCTTCTAAGCTAACGAGTTTAGAAAAACACTGCTTTCTTCCTTCAAGTGTAGACTTAAAATACCTTAATACATCCCCTAGTGGGAGGTATAGTCTTGGGTAACCAATACTTTCTTATATTTCTGAAACTGTTCAGGTCTTCAAGCAAATATTTATATACATTCACATTTTCAAATGTTTTATAAAAATAACGGCAAACCTGTATGAAGGGACTGATGGCATAATGAACCACCTTCAAAATTTCCATAAGATCCCCAAAATAGATCATAATGAAGCCACTGTTGCAAATTCTCCCAGGACAAAGTGGCACAGTTTTAGAAGTGAACTAATGGGAAATGAATCCAGCAGGGGGTGGGGTGAGTGGAGGGAATCTAGAAGGAAGTGAACTTAAACACTGCTTTTGCTCACTTGCCTGGGTTTAAGCCATAGCTACTGTACTCCTGTGAGGTAGAAGCTGGGTTAGATATTTGCAAGTCCAGGCGTTAGGGCTGGAGTTCGCACATCTAGCAGCTGGAGTGTGTTGTGGTAGCTACTTTCCTGTGCTAAGCTGATTTACTTGTTTAAGGTCTGACCTCATCATCCTGTCAGTATGGGTTCCCACCTACACTGTTAGCAGCAGCTTTTCAGCTAGAAAGCTAGAAGTATTCACAGTGCACCGAAGGCTGCAGGCAGCGGGGGAGGGGAACAAGAAAGGCGGCTCCAGGCACTTGTGCTTTTGTTAGTTCAACAGAAGAGGCGGACCAACAAGAGATAACAAAGGTACCATTTCCTTTCTGTGCGAGAAGGCTTTTTGTCTTTCCTCCGGCAAGAATGTCAATTTATGGCAAGAAAGAGTTTGATGTGAAACAGATCCTAAGGCTACGCTGGAGGTGGTTTAGTCATCCTTCTCAAGGTTCTCCCAGCCCTGGAAACTGCCTTCAGCAGGAAGGATATGAGCTTAGAGGGACCCCGGTTCAGGGCAGGTTGAAGAGCCACTCTCGGGACAGAAACGGACTGAAGAAAAGCAACAGTCCTGTCCACCACAACGTACTGGCACCAGTACCAGGACCGGCCCCTGCCCATCAAGGAGCTTTTCAGAATTGGCACCCACAAAATCTGATAGGACATCTTCCAGCAAATGAAGATACTCCTAAAGCAGTTCCAGAGGAGAATTTGTTCAAAAGAGCTTGTGAGAAACACTCCCAAGACTTGGAGATGATGGAACCAGGATCTCCTAGAGAAAGGTAAGCGTTTTTGATCGCATAACTGAAAGCCATAGCCTAGGTTAATTTATCTTCTAAAACTCTCATTTAGTGTTTAAATGTGCTATAATAATCTCTGAATTTCTATGCATCCAATCAGGGTCTCCACGAAAACTCCTCCTTTAAGTCTATAAAGAAAACAGTAACAATAAGTTTTCATAATAAACAGGGAACGTGTTTTAGGATTGTGTTTACTTCTGTTCCATTCCCATTCCATAAAGGATTGTTTCAGTTCTAATAAATGTTTATTATAATTAATAACTTTCTGTAAATATCTTCTGTAGCTTGGATGTTGAAATAGTTGTGATTCTTTGCAGAAGTGCGATGAATCACACAGAAATCTTTTTACTTTCTGAGTTAGGCTGACTCTGACAAAATAAAACCCCGGACTGCTCAGCACACCCTATTGGTTCATAGTACATAGTTGATAAAATGACGCTTGGTAAATGTTATCTTTGTGTGAGCATACGAACAGCTTCCTTTGGCATTTAAGATTCCTTTCAAGTTGTATTAGTTTCGTAGCTAGTTTGCAATCATGAAAATATTTTACATAAAGCAGGTAATAAAATGCTACTTTCAGCAGTGAGATCTTAAAGTAGGAAATGGAATTTGTCAGCTATTCCAGGACATTAAAATGGAATAAGAAATAATAATAAAGTATAATTTCAGTGTAGTTCAAAAACTATTAGGCTTTGTCTTTATTTTTATGTTCACCAATACTGTTTGAGTGGGACAAAATTATGTTCCATCCTCTAATATTGTCCAATATAACTTCATAGAGCTTTTTTTTTTTTAAAGATTTTTATTGGGAAACTTCATAGATCTTTAATTTTTTCTTTTACATTGTAAGATTTTATTTCCCGAATAATTGATGATCTTGGCAAAATAATTAAATTGTAAAAGAGCTTTGGAAAAAGAAGTGTTTTGACATGTTTTAAATTATATAACAATTTAGCATGAAGCTAATTAATTTATGTGGAAATCTGAATATTTGGTATACTGTGTCTACTTAAGTATAGAGGAGAAGGCCTGGCATATTTGCTGCTAGATATAAGTTTTTCCAATATATATGCCTGACGGTTCTAACATAAATTCAAAACCTAATTCCAATGCATAAAGCAACATAACAGGCAAAAGACAAATCAATTGTGCAAAATGATGCCTTTATAGGAACTCAGTCTTCCTGTTGAAAGGTAAATTGCAAAAGACTGTGGAATTTCTTTAAGCATATTATTAGGTTGTTTGTGATACAGAAATCTTAACAAAAAATGTATTTATGTATGAATTTTCCTAAATATTTTTGTGATTTCCCAAGAAAGTGCTATATAACCGTTGGAACTGCAGGTTGTACTTCGTACAACTAATAGGTTTTCAAAGTAATATGTAATCCATACTTTTAGATTCGGAAAGTCTTCAAATGATCTCACATGAACATCAACTTTTAAAACTGCTGAATTTGGAGGTTAATATGAAACCCATTTGACTCTTTTGTAGAGAAATTTAAATTATCCACTCTGACCTCCTGACAAAATTCTTTGACGATTTCTGAATTGATTTGCCAGCATGAGAATATATTTATAATATAATAAATTAGTTGATAAAAGAAAAGGCTGGATAAAATGTCAAATATATTAAGTGTTACCAAGTAATATTTTTTAAAACTATATTTCTTTTTAAATTTTATTTCTAAAAGTTTTCATGTTCTAACGAAATGCTCTGTTAAATATAATACGGTTAAAGTGGAAATATAATATTTTCTTAAAATGAATAGGAAGTGGTTTTATAGATGTGCCAATGATATTTTAAGCAAAAGACAAAGGGTGAACTGAGGATATTATTAATTAAAACATGATGGCTTACTAATTTATAATTATCCATTCTGAATTGTTATGTCTTGGTTAAGGAAAGTTTGAGAAGGAGCTTTGTTATGTCCACCTTCTCTGATACCTCTCTTCTTCAACAAGATTAGGGAGCAGGAGGAAAAGAGCCTGATAAATTGTCAGCAGCCTGCCATCCCCTTAATAGAACTCTTGTGGTTAAAATATAAACAAACAAAAATGGTAGTCAGCGTGGAGAACTACCACACTGATACAAGATGGGCTCTGACACTCAGGGCAAAATGATGATCTTTAAGCCATTCTACTTTCTACAAATATTTCAGGGAATAATTAGAGAACGGACAAAATTCCTAATGTGTAATATAACTAAATAACCTACAGTTATTCCTAAAACAGCTAATAAAGCCAAGTTATTAAAGTTATATCAATGTTAGTTTGGGGATTTAAAAACTCAAATACATTCTTATGTAATTGACTTATAAATATGTACTTCATGTAAGAACAGCTTTGTATCATGATCCCAAACTGTGAGTATGCATATATCAGTATGCTTGTCATCAGTGACCTTGGCTCAATTGTCATTTTCTTTTTGTCTTAGTTATATACTAACCCTGCAACGTTGCTTCTTCATAACTACCATGCTCAGTGTCCTTTCTTTCCTTATTTTATCCCTAGCATTCTAAAAATCAGAACAAATATTTTAACTGTATTATGATCATGCTTCTTATGACAATAGTTATAAAATTTATATATATATATATATATATATATATCCAAAAATGTATACATATTTTAAGAAAGGAAAAGAAAAAAACTATTAAAATTGTAATACAATGAATAATGCTAGCATTCATTTGATTAACACCATCTTTTGAGCGAACTGTCATACTACACATTGCTACGTAATTCAATTTAACTTTGAAACATAATACATAGATACTATCTCTTAAAATGTGTATACATTGTTTTGGCACCCCCCCCCATATACCCGGGGTACCAAAACAATGTATACAAGTGGACACTTTGGTCAATGTTGTTCAAGCAGTAGTTTGCCATAATCACAAGTGTCTGGACACTGATGATAACCACTTTGAGCACCTCTTGTAATTGCAGAAGTCAAATGTGACTTGTGTTCATCTTTTATTATTGGTATATATTGAGTATTACAATTTGAGTATAGTTTTCCTTTCTTAAAATGTGTATGCACTTTTTGGCACCCTCTGTGTGTGTATATGTATATATCTTTCAACTGCTCATAAAGAAATGATTGCATTAGTACCCAGGTGTATGTCAAAGTGTTAAACTGTATTTGCTAAGACAAATATAGCTATCTCCTTGTTGTGCTTCAGAACATTAAATAAAACACGGATAAACTGTGTATGGGCTCAGGCAACGTGCTCCAGTACAAAGCTGGAGGTTCCCAGTGCTGCTTAGTTTGAAGGAATTGTCCGGAATGGGGATCATACCCTCATCCTACCTGTTGGATCTTTAGGTTTTTGTATAACCTACCAATTGTACAATATATAATTTTGTATATTTTGCCAGTGTTGCACTGTCAGACAAGACTTTAAATTCCCTCTCCACTTGAGTCCTTTCCAATTTCCTGTGAGGTTTGCCTAGAAAAAAAAAAGAGTTGCTGTCATCGTATATTGTGATATCACAAAGAAGGGGGTATTGGATGAATAAGACTTAGAATTTATTAATGATTCTTTCCACAAATATTGAGCACCCACTGTGTGTCAAGCACACTTCTAGGTGCTGGGGCTAAACCAGGATCAAACCAGAGAACCTGTTTTCATGGAGTATATGTTCCAATGAGGAGAGAGAAGCATTAAAGATAAACTAAAAATATAACAGTTAAGTGGTTATGAGTAGTGGTTTGAAGGAAAAAACAGGGAAGAAAGTTAAGAAGGGATACTTCTTCAGATATGGAAGGCTTTTCTGAAGAGGTAACATTTGAGCCGAGATCTAAATAAAGTGAAGGAGGCTTGAAGCCATGAGGCTGTCTGACCCAAGAATTCTAAGCAAGTGACAAGTTACTGCTGCCGGGCCTCCAGGGAGCTCTTAAACACCATTCAGCTTTTTCTATTGAAATCAATGCCACCTGTTCCCATACAATCCATTGATTAATGTCCAAAACATCCTTAACTTAACTGGTGTACTCAAAAATATGCCCTGACCTATTGTTCATTGTAGTGATTTTAAGATCACATGCACATCCCCTGGCCACAGAGGTGAATTTCCAGCCATCCTGTGACCACTGCAGCATTTTGTCCTCTGGGGATCTGGCTATTCAGGCAGCAGACCACAGGCCTCAGGTAGGGAGGCCAGTGCCCTTTGTGAAAACAAGCACATGTTGGTGTATTTGCTTTCTTATCAAAACTATTTAGATAGGGCCAGATATATTGTGCATCTTCATCCTCAACATAGATCCATCAGTGATATGGAATATGCTTGAGAAATAATTATTCTTAAGGAAAATCCTATGTTTTAAACAGTGAATCTTATTGTAAATATTCTTTCTCATAGAGTAGGAAGTAAGCTGTGTGGGTAGTGACAGGGAGCGCTTTCTAGAAAGACAGAAGAGCAGTTTCAAGAGCCCTGAGATGGGAGTATGTTTGATATTTTCAAACACGAGGAGGCCAGTGCAGCTGGAGTAGAGTCATCAGTGGGATAGAGGTAGGAGATGATTTTGGAAAGGTAGCAATAACAAAACAATAGTAATACAACATTAAAAATAGTAAGTTCCTTTTGTAGAAGCTTACTATGTGCCATCACTAAATAGTTCACATGTCTTTTCTCATTTTCTCAAGGAAAATCACATTAGAATGTGAATATGGTATTCACATCAACAAATGATATTTCTCCGTGTATTATTTTTTTAGCTTTCTGTTGTTGTTGCTTATCTTCTTACAGGCAAAAATAATATGTTTTTTTTTTGTTCATTGCTGGACCGTCTTTACTTAATTTTACAGTAGAAACTGATAGCTCAAAGGAAAGAATAAGGAATAAACTACAATTTTCTTGTTGTTTATAGAAGTTTAAGATTAAATCCCTTTGCCTATAGTTTAAAATGTATCATATAAAAATACATAGGTTATTCAACTGCTTTACTAAATTTAGAGCATTTTAACAAATAATTTA